TCGCTTCGCTCGCTCCCCCCCACCCCGTGTGACCGAGCCGAAGTGACCGTAAGGGTTTTTGTAAACCTCATTATTTGAAGATGATCGTAAAAGTAGAAAAGAAACGGAGCATAGTTAAGGCCAAATGGGATGAAAAGAGAAGAATAAAATGAAGCTCTTTATAAGACAAGTTTCTGGAAGATATAAGGCCTTATTTCAAAACTCGACTTAAACTCGGCTGGTAACTTCACAATTTATTTTAGCACCCACAAAAATATTACTGGATTCCACTGAAATTTTCTTCTGGTTTTGCAATATAATAACCACAATATTCACAGTTGATAGATAATAATTATGCTTTGTATGAAATTGGCTTCGATAAACAGAAAAATGAATAGAAAGAAAGAAGAATGGCATTCAGATTTCTCACAATTTCTTTCACTTTTTTTTATAATTAAGGATAATTAAGGATAAAGTTACAATAAAAGTCAGACATAAGGGTGAGAATTAGGGTCACAGATAAGGGTCAGAACCTGGGTCATAGTGAGGGTTAGAATCTGGGTCATAATGAGGGTCAGAATCTGAGTCATAGTGAGGGTCAGAACCTGGGTCATAGTGAGGGTCAGGCGTCTCCTGAATTTTTAAACCTCCTTATTTTTTTATTATATAGAGAGAAGAGAGATATAGATAACGGACCATGGATAAAAGACGGAAGCAAGAGAACGGAGGGAAATGGGGTCTACAGAATTTAAGGATACAATGAGGAACAGGATTGGCAAATAAAGATCACAAGTTAAATTTAGAATGAGGGTTACAGATAATAGTTAAAATTACCCCCTACATCAGGATCCCTTATATCAAGACCCCTTATATCAAAACCCTTCATCCTGATATTGGGACCCCTATGACTGGTATGATTTTTATGAGGACACCTCATATGAGGACCCCTCATGTAGGGTCCCGTCATGTGGGGACCCGTCATATGGGGACCCCTCATATAGAGACAGAATTTGAAATTACATTGCTCGATTGGAACAAGAAAAATTTCTTTAGAAAACCTGAGAATTTCTTCGAATTTTCAAGAAAATCCGAAAATTTCCTATTTTCCAGAAAACTTGAGAATTTGCTCGAATTTTCTAGAAAATCTGGTAGTTTTCTAGAAAATTCACGAGTTTTTTCGAATTGGTTTTATGAAATCAAAAAATTTTCTCGAATTTTCCGTAAACCTGAAAATTTTCTCGATTTTTTTCGAAAATCGGAGAATTTCTTCGTATTGTTTAGAAAACCCGCGGATTTCCTGGAATTTTCGGAAAAATCAAAGGATTTTCTCGAACTTTCTAAAAAAACCCGAGAATATTTTCAAACTTTGTATAAATCTCAAAAATATGCTGAAAAACTTGAGAAAATTTTAGAATTTTCCAGAAAGCTCTAGAATTTTCTAGAACTTGCTAAAATTCATGATACCAGATGAAATGGTAATATAATAATTTAATTTAAATTTGGACTTATCATAATTAATATGTGTAGATATCATTGTGAATGGGATGGATAACTTTGGCTCAAATTTGACTCAATTTCAAGCTCTATGAAACATACAAGTTTAAGTTTATATGCTCATATAAATGTACGGGCTCATTATTATGAGACAATAATTTATTATAATTTATCGTGTAGAAATATACATATGAAATTATGTCTTTAATGGCAGAGTAAGGTGTAATAAACCTTACCAGCTCTTGGCGTTACCTCGGATTCACGACGGGGACGTGGCTGGAAGTGAATTCCAAAAAATTTGAAATTTGCAAAAGTCCATCACCAACAAAATCTTGATAGATTTCCAAGACTTTTTATCTATCACTCAAAATGCACTTATCATTTCGCGGTTTGGCAATAGAGAAGATGAAGAACATATTCCTAAAAATTTATAAGGGTTAATAACCTCGACGAAGAATTCCTGTGACAATTATTCCTGAACCTCTTCCATCCTGTTCATAACTGATCTACCAAATAGACCTTTTCATTCTGCGAGTTACTAGATTTGCGGACACTTTTTTCCCATGTTAATTCCCCTAGGATTTGCGGACACTTCATCGAATTTACATATAAATCATGGTTTTTGAGCGCTCAAGTGTAAATCATTGTAAAGTTCAATATTTATCCAAATTTTCCATGGTTTTTTCGGAGATTTTTTCGTTGAATGAACGAAATAAATATTTCCCCTAGATTTCCAGAATGAAAAGGTCTATTTAAAATTATGCAGTTCAATGATAGAAGCGAACGATTCGAAGAGTTACGATACTTGTAGAATCGTTCGTCTCGATTAAAATTATATCGAAGTGTTGAGATTTTGGATACACCTTTCTCGCCTCATGTGTGCCGGATAGCCTCGTGAAGCGCCGCAGCGCCACGCGTCACGGCGAGCACCACCGCAACGCGAGGCGCCCGTACGCCTGACACCGCGACGCAAGCCGCTCCGATCAAACCACTGAGTTCGAATGGTTGACGAGGAGGGGAGAAAGGAAAACAGGATAGTACTCAAGGCGGTGCTCCGGGGAGAATGAGTAGATCTTACAATCAAGTGTGAAACCTCTTCGAGTAAACCCTGCAATTTCACCTAATTACATATATTCCTGGCAAACAAATGACTTTAACGCAAAACGTCTCAAGAACTTTCTTGAACCTGATAAAATTTCGTATCGAAAATGTTTTTCGACCTTTCGCTCAAAATCACTTATTAATGAGATAATTACGTAATTACGCGGATTTGATATGTGAACTTGAGTCCTTTTATCACTAGTTCAGGGCATTATTGAAACCGCCGGTTTGAATAGCAATTTAAAGACCTGAAGAGACCTCACTGGGGTTCTCTTCGAACTATTTACTCCATCAGAATTATCTCCGGTGGTAAATTATCACGTAAATCTGTTTCTACGTTATCTGCATCTGTTTTATCCTCGGAATTTCCCACCAATTATTTTCCGCAAATTTATTTGATTTATTTTCAATGAATTTACGGATTGAAGCGTGAATGATTATTATAAGATATTTGCCCAATCAATAGACATACTTTATTACCGACACAGCATTTTCTTGATAAAATACAATTTAAGAAAAACATAAAATCCGCATTCAAAAAACAATGGAAAAAATGCAATGAAATTCAAGAAGAACACAATATTTATGAAACGAGAACGCGGTTTGGTGGATCTAGTTTTATTTCAATTTCACATGTTCAAATTGAACGTTCATAGACTTACACAATGTAGCATTCAGATTGCATAATGAGTAATTAAGTTGATACATTACAGTTTAGGAGATCAAAATGTATATCGTAACCCGGCTGTGTAGCGCACTTGGTAGCAGCATGAGATTCACAACCTCAAGCTCCCAGGTTCAAGCCCCGGCCGGGCCAAAATTCCACACCAATTTTTCATCACAATTTTCCACATAATATTCAACTGAAAATTCAACACAATTTTCAAACCAAATATTCCACGGAATTTTCAACTGAAAAATCCACTCCACATTCAACATTCCCTGCTGAAGGCCCTCGGGCGATGGCCGCGTTGGCAAGTTAACCCTTGCAACGAAAAACCGCTGAAATTTGAAATTTGAATTTGAAATTTGAAAGTTGCAAGGCTCAGACGTCGCTAGGGTTATACCTCGTGAGGAACATGTCTCTCGTTAGACCATTAAAGGTTTTCTTTCCTGCTCCTCTTGTTTGACCCTTATAATCGTTGGACCGTTGTGATTGTTCTTCCTGCCTCCCCAATTGCTGCTTATTGTCGTTTGGCCTTTGAGATTGTCTTGCCTACTTCTGTTGTTTGGCCGTTGCGACGTTTGACCCTCGCGAGGTATGATCCTTGCAAGATTTGCACATAACACGGGAGCTCAACTCCCCTGTCAGCGCGGTTGTTCTTGCGCCAGAACAACTGCATTGTTCTCAATCGCGTACAGACGCGGTCAAAAAGGTCTAAAAACTCCTCTGTAAATTACTTGCTTTTTCACATGTAGAAAACTTGATAAAATACTGGTGGTATTTTACTTATCCAAGTCTGCCAAGGACAATCGAAATAGTATATTTCGTAACGAGTGCAAAAAAGTGTTTTTTGGCGAGTCGGAGGGTTATATCACGAGCCGAAGGCGAGTAACAATATAATCCCACGAGCTAAAAAACATTTTTTCACGAGTTACGAACAATATTTTTCATCACAATGTGGCGGAAATTGGACTTTTAGGCACGCGGAGCGTGCCGAAAAGTTCACTTTTCGTCACAGCGTGATGAAAATTAAAGATACAATACCAAACGAATAGGGAAATCCCCCTGTAGAACAACTTTGTCATAGAAGGTAAAGACAATTTCTACGTTATCTATCGACCATCAGGTCTCCCGCCAAATCCACTCACCTATTTCACTCTGGTAGAAAAAGTTCTCTAGGTTAAACAGCCACGGATAACCTGTCAATTTGTTATCAATTAGTCGCGGGAATAAACGCTATTTTCTGATTAATGAATGAAGAGGGGTGGATTAATAATGAGTGATGTAAAAAACGTCATCAACTTATTATGCAAACACATTGGCCAATGCACGGAAGTGCAAGTACATCCGGAGTATTTCAAAGCAGCCAAATATAATGAAGATTCACCGGAAGTTGTGAGTAATCAGTAAACCGATATACATATTGCGAAATTATATATGTAAAAATATTCATTACAGGTTCAATGTTTTTGGACGGTTTTAAATATTCTGAGTTATTACGCAATCAAGAAAACACAGCCAGGAATCGATTTTCAACATTATGGTATTTCAGAACAATGTTTCATAATTTCGCCGCATTTTCATTCATTTAATTGCAGCGGAAATCGATTTCCCCTGCGATTAGATGAATGAAAATGATGAATTATTTTTTTTTCACTACGAAAAAAGTATTTTTACATTTTATTTCAAATATGCGAGTTTCCGCAAAATTTTCGAGATAATCTGAAAACTCTATAATTAACTTCCTTTTTTGCGCTACTAGAAATGATTGGGCACTAGGAACTAGCTCTTTACGGGTCGTACTTGTCTTTGAAACTAGAAGCTTTGGAAAAGAATCTTGCTATGTATTTCTCGTATTAGTCGATACGCAACACCCCCAGTCGGTGGAAGGGGGTGTTGGGAGGAATCCAAATTTTTTTGTTTTTGTGATTCCAGTGTGTAGTAATTTGTTATAAACAATTTTATCTCAATTTTTCACAAAAAAATGATTTTTCATGCACACGATGAGACATACCAAAAAATGTTTCAGATGAATGTTGTTCATCTTCCTCAGAAATGACCGGTCAAATGACGGTCAATTACCGCGGTCATGACGGGTAATTACCATGTCCATAAATCTGACGATTCGGTCAGGAATTCAAAAAATGACCAATTCAATTCTGACGGTCAATTCTCATCTATATAGATGACACAGAAATTTTTATTCGGTTACTCGGTGTCGGCAAGGTTACTAGCGGTCATAGGGACCCTACGTCGCCACTAGGGGTTTATGCGAGACTAGATAACAAAATTCGTTCAGCAAGCAACTCACCTAGGTGAAGAGCTGAGCGAACTAGATGAGGGAGCGGTGGCAATTATGAGAATTAAGGAGAGAAGGACTGAAGAGGAGCCTCATCCAGCATCCTCCTAATTTAACATGAAGTTTTTGACCAAAAACATAATATATACAGAGATATATCTTTAATTAATTTTGTTGACGTTTATTAAGTTCATGAGCTTATCATGAATGATCTCGAGCATCGAATTTATGATTGTTTTCTAATTCGCTCCAATAAACATCAACTTTAAATTATGAAATGCGACTCAATTCTGAGCCGTCCATCTGCCTGAAGGGAATCCAAATTTCCTCAGGAATCGAATGGAATAGGTTATAAGGCTCTAGCTCGCATAGTTTCCGAGATAATCGCGAAAAACGAAATCGCCAAAAAAAATTAATTTAATTTATCTTGTATA